TGCAGCTGTTAAACTACCGGCCAGTTTAGTCAGAACGCAGTGACTGCAACTCCTCTACACGTCGTGTCTTTATGCTTCTTGTACAAAGGAGCTTATTGAGTCACTGCTACTGTAGAATCAACATGTGAGTGCTATCAAGCCGCAGTAAATTAGAGGGATTCTCCACATTTCTATAAAAGCCACTGGCGGTCTAGGCATAATTTAGCAAAATGCAGAAAATGTAAACCGTAGTCTAAATGCTCCTACTGTGAAGCTGTTTATTCATCCTCTTGATCCAGAACTAATTGGTATCATCTGTAGGGAACTGTACAGTAGGATTATTACAGCTAGCAGAAACCAAAGTGGTGGGAGGAGTCCAGATGTCTTGGATATTCCAGCATACTGGCCATGGAAAAAATCTCAGTTGCCATCATGCAATGAAACTTAAAATCAGCGTATGGCTGGAATAACTGCAGCAAGAGGCTTTCTCCTCCTTTCAGAAACTCTTGGAGCTGCAATTTGTAAGATTGTTTCTCTCTGATTTTTCAGGATGGAGCATGTGATAGAAAACCAAACATCTGCAGGGAAGAAAGTGCCCATCAGGATTGTCCACTCAGAGGGAGTCACGGAGAAGGAGAATTGTCCATTTTTGCAGCACAGTGACCCCCCTGCTGTTGAGGCTGAGGGTCTTGGTGTAACCAGGCTCAGCAGTCTGGGAGCTGCAGGTCAGGACTCAGTCTTCTGTGCCTTCACTCGGCAGAGGGAGCCCGACAGTACGCCGGCCGCTCAGACAGACCCAAAGCCCCAGAGAGACACATACATGAGTACTGTTAGAGATCACATCAACTCTAACAGTCAGCAGCCACCGCAAACCACAGACGAGGCCAGCAGCACCAGGCCGACAGTAACCACAGGACTGTCTGAGGATCAGAAGAGGGAGGAGCTGGCCAGGGACATCATGGGGAAGGATAAATCACTAGCTGAAATTTTGGACCAGAGCAAGATGAAGACCACCATGGACATGATGGAGGGCATCTTCCCACAGGGGGAGCAGCTGTTGGAAGGAGCTCACCAGCGCAGGAAGGTGCCCCCGAAACAGACCCGGCCTGCTGAGGAAAGGTCAGCCTTGCACTCTAGCTTCCATACTGGGCCTGGTGTTTATATCTGTGATCTAGTTCTTAATGTGTTTCCTACATGCAGCAAAGTGCATTATTCAAGATACCCGCTTACTTTTCTGACCTGTAGAGTGTTTAATTACTCTCACAATGTGCAGTTAGATATGTACAACCCTGACATGTACAATATGCCTGAACATTAGCTCTGTTATGTTTAGTCACCTGTGTGTATACGACTAATTCATATACATGACTTATTTTAATATTATTTACTTATTTATATTTTACAGGGTGTACGCCTGTACCAGTACAAGTCTTGATTCAGTCTGCACAGTCTTTATAAAATCGCTTGTTTCAACTAGATGAATACCAGCTGTTTATGAGTAGGTGTGTGTCTGTGAGATTGGTCATTAGCATAAACATGGCCCCCAAAGTGCTCTATAGGGCTATCTGTTCTTCCCTGTGTGGACAAGTCTTATGGGTAGAGTAAAAAGAAGAATTTCACACTGCAAAGTTTCAACTCCTGAAAGCAGCAGACAAATGTAACGGTGTCAGCAGCTGTATTAGGTGACCCGAAACAATAAGAAAACATTAATACAGCTGCCAACAGCATGTAATCAGAGCAGCAGTGCCACAACGTGTGAAAAATACAGAGAATCATTCGGCACGAATAAATCTACGAAAAAAAGGTCTTACTGAAGAAAAGTGGTTTATATGACAGTTAGTATGAGGGGATATCATACAATAGGTGGTATTAGACCTTTGATACCCAACCATGAGTCCTTGTGCCACCGAACAGGGGTTCCCAGACTTTTTCATGTCATGGACCCTGCAATAGACCACAGGCCGCTGTCTGGGAGTACTTTGTGTTAAGGAACCCCTCTTAGTGTTTAAAATCAGCTCTGGTTCTTGGGCTTTGTTCATGATTCTTTGAACCCTGGTGCTGTCTATCAACCCAGCCCGCATTTCCACCAGCTTTGAGCAATACCACTGTAAGCATCTGTCTCATCAACAGAGGGCGTTTTTTCCAGCTGGAAACTAACTTTTTAACCAGTTTATTTTTGATCGGTTCCCTGTTGGTGGAAAAGACCTATCTGAGTCATTTTCAGATTTTTAGGTTTTAAGATTATGAAGTCTATCATTAATCACACTGGGATCACTATTTCCTACCTTGTTCCAGATTCCTAACAATCTGATTAAAAGCTAAGATATTGTATTCCTATGGACCCCCTCAAGGATCCCCAGACCCCAGTCAGAAAACCACTGCCCCAAGGGATACTTCTGAAGTTGTGAGGGTTCATGGAGAGATTGTAGAGAAGCTCAACTAATATGAAAATTAGAAATTAAGATTTGATTAAAATATATGGACAAACAGGCAAAACCCATAGCTAAAAGTAACGGATAAACACTTGAAATGGTTAGCTTAAAGTAAAGCTTCAATGGTTCCAGTATTCTTATTTGGTTTGGTAATGTGAGAGCTATGTGACAGTATGTGTTACTTATATTTCAGGGAAAAGGAGGACAGTATGGCAACAGCTGTCACCATGGTGACCAGCTCTACATATTACAGCACATCTGCTCCTAAGGCTGAGCTCCTTATTAAGATGAAGGACATGCAGGAACAGGAGGAGGAGGAAGACTCTGAAGATGAACTGGACATTGATCTGGCAAACAAGAAGGTACGATACACTCACTGAACCCATTCATATTTAGAGTTGATATGATGATAGAAGCTTGACTTTGTGCTTATGAGAGTACCCAGAAAGCCCGGGGACGAGATTAAAGGCCCGTTTCAGTTTGTATCTTCTGTTTTTGCAGCAAGAGCTGATCGACAGCCTCAGCAAGAAGCTTCAGGTGTTGCGGGAAGCCCGGGAGAGTCTTCAGGAAGACATCCTTGACAACAACGCTCTGGGAGATGAGGTGGAGGCCCAAGTCCAGCAAGTCTGCAAACCCAACGAGCTGGACAAGTTCAGGATGTTTGTCGGGGACCTGGACAAGGTGGTGAGCCTGCTGCTGTCCCTGTCGGGCCGTCTGGCCAGAGTGGAGAATGCCCTCAACAGTCTGGAGGAGGATGCTACTGCTGAGGAGAGGGTGAGTAAATGTAGTTTGTTTCTTCCCACCAACACAGAAAACTTTGTGTATCTTCTCAAATTCTAATATGTTTCTTTCATCTACAGCGCACATTGATTGAGAAGAGGAAGCTGTTGATCCGACAGCACGAGGATGCGAAGGAGCTGAAGGAGAACCTGGACCGTCGGGAGCGTGTGGTTTATGACATCCTGGGCAACTACCTGCAGGAGGACACCCTGACAGACTATGAGCACTTTGTCAAAATGAAGTCAGCACTCATCATCGAGCAGCGCAAGCTTGAGGACAAAATCAAACTGGGCGAGGAGCAGCTCAAGTGTCTGATGGACAGTCTGCCGATAGAGCAGAGGCTGGTCTTTTGAAGGTGTTGGACACTGATGAAGTCAGATGACTAAGACTGGGTATGTTTCTCCGAGTTGCAGTTGAGCCCTGTGTCCAGCAGAGGGAGACAGAGGAGCTGGCAGAGACAAACTGCCTGTTTGACATTTTTTCAATTCTGTGGTGAAGGCTCATCTGAGCACGTCTTACTACTTCACACCGTCTCAACTGGTCTGCCGTAACGCCTCCTGGACTGACAGCATCCATAAGGAACTCCCTTGTTTAAGATGCTGCTTTTCCTGGCACCAACCGACCACTGTATCCAATGTCTTTCATGCCATTTTTGCTTCGTTTTTATTTCTATTGTTTTGGTTTTTTTTAGTAATTTATTGTAGCCTTTTGAATCTGCACAGGAGGGGACAGTATTTTATCTTCAACTGATCTGAGCAGTCACGCTACCTGATGTGTTGAGCAACTAGGAGTATTTATCATGTTTTGTGTTTCAATAATTTCACACTCTGAAAGTGTTTTCACATGATCCATAAAATCTGGCCCCACATTTCAATAAACATAAAGGTTTTTGTTAACATTTATATATAAACTAGTGGCCTTTTTACTAAGATTTTTGTGCCCTCGCTTTCGTCCCTCAAGAAGCTTTTCTTCTGCAGTAAACGGAAGGTAAAGATGGTGGGATGTTAGCGAATGTACCTGTGAAGAGAAAGTGTGCAGATACTGGTCATTTTTTGAAGAGCACTTGTTCAACTTCACTAAACAGAGGAACAGTAGCACTTCACATTCAGACTTTAACTCAAGTGAAATCTACATTTGAAGTGCCTGGGGAGTCACACCCACCCATGTCACTGCGAACACTGTCTTTTAATCCACGTCTGCATGTTTTGTCCCGTCAGCGCTGCTCTGTTTTATTCACAGGAAAAAAAAAACTTGTTTAGATTATGATATTGCCACTTATAAGTTGACCAAGTGTTTCTGTATTTTGTCTTATTGCTTCACTGTGTTTTGTTATTCACGGTGCAGATGTTGAATGCATAGTTACCACAGTTGTTACGTGACTTCTAGTGAAATTTCATCACTAAAAATTGTTGTTCAGGTTGATCATTTTGCAACCAAATATGAAATTAAATCATTGCAAAGCATTCTGACCAGCTTGAACGTCAGTCTATCAAATGTTTGAATATCAGACTGTACGGATTGAATCAGCCTCCCGAAGGTGAACCCTGTCGGAGGATGTTTGTTCTGCACATTTGAGAATATTAGTTTCACACGCTTTATGCACTGCTACAGCCTGACTCTTAACACTTTATCAGCTGTGCTCCTTTATATCAAATAAAGAGTCTGCTGGAATCACGCAGTGGTGTTTGATTGATTTCTGTTCAGTGATCAGCTCATTGTTCAGTCATTCATTAACTTCACCACACCCTCCTCGCCGCTGATAATGTGGAAGCTAAAGACTTTGAAATGACGAGGGATATCTTTAACAGTCAGGTGTGACAGGCTTCCTCTCACATAACCAAAGCAAAATGTGGACTATCTCTCGCTCTCCTGTGGTAGATACAGCATCTGTGGTGGAAGGATACAGCGTATAGTGAGAACAAGAAATTGGAACTTGAAACACATCAAGGTGAGCAAAAGGACAAGATGTGAACAGAGGGTTGTTTTTTCTTTACTGCATAAGCTGCGAAGATTTAAATGGACAATCATTAACTGCAGTAATGTTAAATGGCTGTACTCACACTTCCATCAAATCAACATTTGAATTTTCATCTTGGATGGTATTGATGTGTATTCCAGAACTTGCAACAGTAATATCTTTTTCCTCAACATATTTTATTTGTAGATGTTATACTCTTTGTTTATATCCATAATTAGAACTTAGAAAGAGCTTGGATATTCAGATCACTCGGTCTATACTGTCTTACTACCTTGTGCCAAAGGAATCCTGGGACAGAAAATAACCCTTAAGGTGCTTGCAGCTGGCAGATACTGCTGGAAAAACTACAGGGTTTAGTGTTTGTAGTCCAAGTTTTACTTCTATGGTAATAAATCTCATGTATGCTTGCATAACTACGTGAACAAAGCAGTCAACTCCCCAGGAGCCCCAAAAAGCCTCCGGTTTGGTAATTTGATTCATTACAAATGTGTTATCGCTTTTCAACCACTAAAGTTAACGAAGGTGAGTTCTGCATTATTACCTCCTCTTGCGACCCGACTGTAGACTATTGATGAGAAGCTTGAGTTAGTTGCATTAGTTTACAGTATGCTCACATGCATATTCCCAAATAAAGTTATAAAAAAAATCAAAAATCAACTGGCTTCAACCTTTATGGAGGTAGACATGCTGGTTGTTTTTCGGGCCTTGTCTGGGGGTCTTTGGGGGCCCTCATGTTAATCCAGCCTAACCCATATGTTTTCATAAGTCACATTTTCAGACAATATCTGCATTTCATTTCAATATTTTCCTGCTAAATATACCTTAAACACACAGTAGGTCAATTCTTCCGCAAGGGGTCTCTCATCTTAAAACAATAACAATAGACGTAGTTTGAGGACATTGTGAAGTAGCATCGGATCATAGCAGTTGGCAACATTATTGATGGAAATCTACCCTGATTTCAGGCACAAATCATGTTCACAGACAAAGTAACATAATAGTTTAATTCAAGTTATGTTTATTCACGATCACAGACTCCCTTCCTCACTCTGATGTATCCGGTTTCCCCGGTGTAAAGGACCATTCACCAAATTAAACGCACCCTTACCTTGAATAAAACTACAGATTTCTCTCGGTTTGAACACAGCTGGAAGAATTTAAGATAATGAAAGTATACAACTAAAAATGTTTTAATACAGAAATGCTGTAACATAATCTACATACACCTTTAAAGGATCAGTTCAACTGTTTTTCATTGGCACTATTTCTTTAAGAGAACATAGCTCCCCTGAAAACGTTGAGGTCCTGGGAGTCTGGATTATTAATCGTGATTGTGGAAAGTCACCAACCAGCAGTGAAGTGTGGCTGTTAGGTGCTATGAAACTGTGGGTGTAATACCTGTAATATAAACTAAGGCTAAACTAAACCAAACAAAACCAAGTGGACATCCGGGAACAACCTGGCTTTGGTGGGAGGGGACAGACAATCAGAGGAGACCTGTAAGAGGAGGAGACCTGTAAGAGGAAAACAGATGCAGAGCTGGAGACAAAATGTCTGTATCTCAAATAATAATAATTATCTACGTGGCTAGATACAGCTAAAGGTTAGTGGATAAGTGAGAATGTGTTTCTTTTCCCGTTTAGGTGAACTGACCCTTTAAAGGTTATTTCTGAGATGTAGAGTACCTTTGGCTCCAGAGACACCATGGACATATTGGAGTATGCACCTATCTTGTCATATTCCATGTTTCACATAATTCCTACAGTGAATTTTGAAAAGTAATGTGTTTCCAAGAACCCAAGAAGGTTTGAAAATAATACCAGAATATGAATGAATTAATGTGGATATACGTAGCAAACCACCAAGAACTCTGAGTTTAGGCCCTTTTAACACAGCTGTGGATATTTGTGTGTTCAGCAGGTGTGATGGAGGTCGGGCACACTGTGTGAACAATGTGTGAGTCAGCGATCCGTCTCTTTGAGCATTAGCAGTCACACTGGGCAGGATGATCTACCTGGCTCACACAGCTCACTGGCAGTTCGTGGGCCTGATATCCGGCTTACTGGCGTGGATCCTCATCGTGACCACGGTCGGCCTCAACGAGTGGCGGCTGTGGTACGTGGCCGATGTGTCTGTCATCAGCTCGGGTGTGGCCTGGGTGGGTATCTGGAGGGCCTGTTTTTACAGCCATGCCCTTCCCAAAACAGAGAACTGTTGGAGCATCGGCATCTCGGACCACTTTGCTCCTGCAGAGATCCCAGCGGCTCAGGTGCTGATGGTGCTGGCAATGATCTTCGGCCTGGCGGGAACCATCAGCGCTGCAGTGGCCATGAGGATGGTCTACTTCGCTGTGGAGGATCGCAGGCACATACGGCTGGTGTTTGTGCTGGCAGGGACCCTCTATGTGCTGACGGGGATGTTCTGCTTGGTGCCACTGGTGTGGAACATGCGCTCTGTGCTGAACAACAGCACCATAGACTTTCCTCCCGAGTTCCACCTCCCCTCAGCTCCTGTCAGGCAGCAAGTGGGCTCCGCCATTGGAGTGGGCATCTTCGCCTCCATAATGATGCTCATAAGTGGGTTGCTGTTCCTTTGCTACCGCTTCGCCTGGCAGGCCCTGAGCTCAGAGTCCCCCAGAGACACCAGGGACCCACTCCGTGGTCCCTGGACAGAAACCACCCTGGCACAGAAGTCTGAGTTGGCAAATAGAGACAACCATGGCAGGGATAATCCTGCATTTCACAGTGAAGAACATTTTACTAATGTACAATCTTAGATTTTCATGTTTTTCATTCATTGAAAAAGTGACTTGGACAATGTCAGGGAAGAAAAGTCACATTTAAAACTCAGAGCGGCTGAATAAAAACAGTATGAGTTTAGCCTATATGCTGGAGCATTTGCCATGTCATATGACCAAGAATGCTGTGAAATACACATTAGTCCAGCATCAAAATACTGCATCATCCACAATAAGTCATTGTCAATTCACAATATCTCTTTGTAACTTATAACTAAATAAATGCTAACTCATTAGCAAACAGTTGCCCATTAACACCTCCAGCAGAGTTGTGTTTCTGTTCACAGGATCAATCTATTGTATTGATTATTCAGTATTAACTGTAGCTCTTCAGCTGCTAAACGCTCCACTATGTTTACTAGCTTGTTGCTGTCGTCTGCCTGCCATTTGTGCCGGGAAGCTAACATACAGCGGGTTTACACATCCAGCGGATATGGAGCGACCTTAACATTTATTTAGAGTTGTATTTATGTCCACCCGATGTATGTAAGTCTGAAGGAAGTTATTTAGCTTCAGTTAGCTCTTAAGCTGCTATGTGCTCCACCATGTTTTCCAGCTTGTTGCTAACAATGTCTGTTTGGCATTTTCAGTGAAAAAGTTGGCTGCCTGAAACAGTGAGAGCGGTGAAAGTGAGTCAACTGTAGGGTGAATCAGAAAACCAAAACAATGAGCTAAAAGGAGCTAAAACGCTATAAATTGTTTGTCACTACAAGCAACACCCTTGTTTTACATCCATTATTAATATAAAAGTATAGATTTTTGCTGCCTTAATATTGTCCTGTATTACAGCGTTTTGTGTATATGATCTGGATTTCTGCAGTCATGTAATTAATAAAATCTACAAATCCCAGCTACATCTTAAGTTCATGAGACTCGTGCGAAGTACAGCTATACTGAATTTGTGCTGCCAGAGTTCAGGGACAGATGTAATAAAAAACCTTATCTCTCCACTGTTGTCCAATAGTGCTGTTCAGAGTGAGTGTTCCTGTAATGACTGATCAGCATTATCACCACACAGGACGGGGGAGGTGACATGACATGTCAAGGTGTGGGCTTCTAACGGGCCCCATGTGAGGAGGGATCTTAGCGGGTCAGATTGACTGGGGGCCCTGCTCATGTGACCTGGGTAGGAGGCTGACGAGAGCAGGCATGTGAGTATGGAGAGGGGGCTGCCTCACAGTAGTGATTGTTGCCAGGGCAGACATGCACACACACACGCACATATACATGCACACATACATACACGTGGCCCAGTGGCCCGCTGTACCTCTCTGGAGGCGGCTAGCTGCTGAGGAACAAAAGGCCCTCTTCAGCCGAGCACAGCTCTCTGTCAAAAACACAAGGCCCAGAAGTGGATGAAAGGTAGATCGGCTCCGACCACTGCTGCAAGACTGCGAGGCGCTTTATCACAGGGTGCCAGTAATCAGTAACAGCAGGAGAACCACTGATATTAGTTTTAATTGAGTAGAAATAAATATTATTAAAAAACATTCTTTAGATAAGAGTTCGGGGTAAAGTTTTTAATAATTCTCCGTCTTCACCACCCTCCCCTTGCACATTCCCCTCTACAGATAAACCTGATATAACACCGTGAGCTGGTTATGTTTTATCTAATCTCTTATGCTCAATCATCTTCTCTATCAGCTATAATGTATAATGGAGGAACAGTGATAAGAAGGCTCTGAGAGAGGAAGCATGGCGATCAGTTAAAGACTAAAGTCATATCAAAGTGTTAGTGTCACAAAGATGACATTTTAGATCAGCTGATGACATTTTATTTGTGGCTATTTAGAAATATGATTGTGGTAAAGCTCTGAGCAATCTTCCCTCACATTTTCTTTTATTTGCTTAGATTCCTGCAATCAATCCTGTCAAGATCAAACAAATATTTGTATAGTTGGTGCTGTCTCCATGTGTAGTGGAAAGTAACTACACTTACTCAGGTACTGTATTAAGTACAATTTATTTACTTGTACCTACTTTTTACGTGTTTACATTTTTTATGCTACTCATTTCATTTCAGGGTGGAATATTGTACTTTTTACTTACAGTCCTGGGTTACTTTTACTAAAATAAATGCACAATAATACATTCCTATCCAAGGTGGTGATATGTTTGTATTTGTTAAAGATACAGACAGTATGCAGACTGGATCTATCTATCTATCTATCTATCTATCTATCTATCTATCTATCTATCTATCTATCTATCTATCTATCTATCTATTTTTTATTTTTTTCCAGTTGGGGCTCCCTGTTTCAGATGCCTACGACTTATTATCAATTCATCAAAGAGTAATTGCACTTTCTTAAAGGAGAACCAATTTTACACATCAAAGTCTGTTTATGGGGCTGAATTGGGCAGAGTACTCTTATTTTCTTAGATGGTTTTATTCAATAACTGTTCAAGGCTCGAAAAGGTAAAAATATCCAAAAAGCAAAGATTGTAAAAAAGTAAAAAGGAAAAAAATGAAAACAAATGTGTGTAGCAGAATCTTCTCTCTCCCATGAACCCTTAGATTTATGTTGTGACCCTTTGGAGGGGTCTGACCTCTAGGTTTGGAACCACTGGACTAAACTAGCTCCACCTCTATCAGCTACAGCAGAAATTCTGCTTACAGACTGACGCAGTATTACTTAACTAATAATCTGTGATGTATTTTTTAAGATTCTGGCAGTTTCAGGATATAACACCGTCATTGTTTGGTTTTTGCATGACTCAGCCTTTATATAGGTTTACAGTGGCTTATTGTATATAGAACAACAACAACTTTTAACTTTGCTTCCTTTTCTAGGCTTACCTTTTAAGAATGAGCACATTTGTTGATTTTTTCAGAACATTTTGCTGATAATAATTTACGTTTACTTGTAGTTTTATTACATTGCTGTATTGGTACTTGCCTTACTCTTACTTTGTTGTCAGCCTCGCTTGCCCCTCAGATAAGACAGATAAGGGGATTTGGGTAACATATGGCAATTATAAGGGCGTAGGAACATTATCGTGATGGTTATGAGAGTGCTGAGCAGCGGAAGATTGGTTGCACAAAACATCATATCTTATCAAAGAGCTCAGGACTGGATAATGTTCATCTCTATCTGAACTGTCACTGTAGAGGATCATCAGTCATTTTACAAAGATAGTAAATCATTTGATAGTATTCTCAGCTTGCTTATCACCCTCTCAGAGTAGGTTTGTTTGTTTGCAGTCGGATGCACTTAAACATAATTCCTCATGAGAAGAAGACATTTCCTTTGTGTTGCCGCACTGCCCGGCCCCTCAGCACTTGGGAGTCTTACGGTAATCAAAAAGAACATCTCTGTAGTTGTTTTCACTGCCTCCCCTGCTGATAGATGCCCTCACACTGGGAGACACCAGGCGGCTCCCCGCAGCCGGCGTGGCGTCAGAGGATAGGAGGGTGCCTCGATCTGCTCTGTGAGGCCTGACAGAACCACTTTTTATATCCGCGAAAGCAAAGTCTGTCATGTCTTGGGCCCCTTAGGCAACATATGCTTCTGTGACAGCATCATTATCTCTCATTAACTTCATTCTATAAGCGCTGACTACACAAGAAGTAGCATCATTAGGATGGTGGAGGTTTAGAAATCATCCTATTCCCATGCAATAACACATTTATGTCACTGTATCTGTGTCTATGTAAATGATACAGACAGTTTTTGAGTGCAGAGAGCGGCGGCGCCCTCTGACCTTGGCAAATTTGTGTAATTATGTCAAAGCGAGAGCCGCAAGGGCAACCTGTTCTACATTCTTCACAGTACACGCTGCCCATTAGAGCATTCATTAAACACAGCTTAGCTCAGCGAGTGACCAGGAAATCTGATGGAATTAGTCTCAAGCTGCGTTTCCACCACCGCAGACACACCTGACGGACCAAGACGACTGTTTTCAGTCCCCCCCCTCAACCCCTGCTCAGCTTGTCGTCTGGTTAGAGAGCGACCAGGGACCACTTCAGACCAAAATAGGTTTTATGTTCATGTGACTAATAGACGGCCGGATGGGGAAAGCAAAAGAGCAGCCGTGTTTCCACCTCTGACATAACTGAGGAAAAATCTGCTCATTGTTTAATACAGATTCATGCCACAGCTTTTCATTTTATCAACATGAACTGAACAATAAATGATCGTATTCAGCGTGTAGAATGAGCACACAGGATACAACACTAGCACAAGGAAACTTTAAATGAAAAAAAGAGACAACTTTTCAATAGAATTTCAATAATTCTTTATGTGAATCATCTGAATGTGCTGCACAATACAGCACATAAGCAGCCAGGCCAGGAATAATTTGTGCTTTTACAATGTTTTAGTATGAAGAATAACTTACAATCACAGCATTTTAAAAGCTAAGGTGTCTTGTTAAACAGACTTGAAACAGTATTTTCTTCTTTGTTGGCACTGATAAGAGAAAGCGCCTCAGAATATTGAAAATAAAGCATTTTATAAAACATGTATTTAAAAAACATTCACTTTTTACTGGTCACAGCAGGTTCTTTTAAACTGAACTGTTGGGTTGTGTACTAGAGTCATTAAAAACAGCTGCAACAATCAAAATCCACAACCGATAAAGCAACCCTTACACAGGATGTTGCCTTTTATATAAATCCAGATATTTACATAATTATTTCAAAGCAGTTTGAAGTGCAGTTCTACAGGTGATTGTGTTGTGTTTGTCGGTCTCTATGAAGGTAATCTTTTAATTTGAATCATTTGTCCCTTAAACGTACTCTGAGCGCTTCCTGAAGGAAACATCTGTACTCATGACCTGGTATCGCCGCTGCAGCACAGGCTGAGGCTCCACCCGTGAACATATGCAGGAGGTGACCAGAAGGAGCCCGGCCACTATGAGAAGAAATCCTCCGGCCCAGCCGCAGAACAGGGCATCACCAAACTCCCATCGTGGCACCACGTCAGGTACTTTATCGTCAAAGAAATGCATCACTGCTAAATGGGCCATGTAGGAAACAGGGATCAAACACAGCACTCCAGAAATCACCCCCAGCACCCCTCCTATGATGGTTAAAGTCCTCTTGGTTCGGTAGCCTCCGTGCTCTCTACAGCTGTTGACCAGGTAAAGTCCAGGTATGGCCACCAGCATTCCCAGCATGCCCACAGCGAGGGAGGCACACATGAGAATACGGGCCAGCTTGAGGTCACTGGAAAGGCCCAGCAGGCTGTCATAAGCTCTGCACTCCATGCCTCCGACATCCTGGACGACGCATGTCTCCCACAGGCCCAGCTCGTAGCTCTCTACCGGCAGCAGCGCAGTGGACATGGTCAGCCACTGTGGTAAGATAGTGGTGGCGAGAGCGCACAGCCATGCTCCAACATACACCAGCATCCCCAGCAACTCCAAAGCGCAGGCGCACGTGTCCATCTTTCCCTCTCTCTCTCTATCTCGCTCTGGCCTCCACACTTGACAGAGCCACAAGAGTTCTTCTTCTGAGGCTGCACTTCAGATGGAGAGGCCTGCGGACGTCCAGTCGGGACAGGAGCTGCTCACAACACCTGACAATTAGAGTTGACCGCTGAGGCTCTGGACTTGGAGCTCTTGCACAAACAGTTCCCACTCAGAGGAGCACACATCTTCTGTTGCAGGGAAGAGAGGGGGCCCGTTCGGCCCTCCCCTTTGCGGTCCTCCTGCTCCGGCTGCTGTGCCAATGGGCAGCAGAGGCAGAGGTCTCAATAGCAGGCCACAAGGGATGACATTAAATGTAGACAGGATATTATATTGTGCATTTTCATGTCATAAATTAACTCCCTGATGTCCATTTTTATTCATCCTGTGTGTCCTCAGAGGGACAGAAATGTCACTGTATAAATAAGCAAACAAATGTCCATTGGCCTTAAAACAGCAAAGGCAAGTTCTTATTTACAAATGCCATGCAAAGATAAGCTGCTCTTAAACGGGGCTGCCTCTAGAGATACTGTAAAATGACCAGTTTTAGATCTGTGTGAGCAAGATTAGATCTCCTTTTTACAGCAGTCAATACTGTCCTCAAAGTGCTCATCTTGTAAACTGTTTATAGTCATAAACAACTTTTATTAATGTATTATGAAGGCAATCTGCCTGAGGAAATAAAATCATTTATTATCCATGTAATAAAATTATGCAAGGAAAATAAATTCTGCTCCATGGATAGTGAGCTGTATTAATGATGATACATACAGTATATCTAGTTGATAATAACACATCACATTTTTTTAGAATTCATAAGTCAGTCACAGTCAGGCTCTTCGCTGCATGTGACTGAAACAGAAACAACAGTGCAGCTTATTGTGTGCTCTCATATGAACACTACCAGCCTGTGGGAAATGGTCGTAGGTGGCAATAGATCAATGTGAGAAAATTCTTCCCAGCCGTAAACACACACAGCAAAACCACAAACAAACACTCAAACAGAAACGCACAGATAAAATCCCCAACTCCTCTTCCACTGGAGAATAAAACTTTCAGCTGACTGCGCTCTGCATGGACAGTCCACGTCAGTGACACAGTCAGGGAGGATGCACTGGACCTGTTTGGCAACAGAAATCCCCCTTACTGTAAAATTCCTCTTGAATTTCAGTCACAGCCCCAGAAACCTGAGGAAAACTATGAGGAAATATGTTTTATCAGTGTTGTTGCAGTTCCTACTGGTCACAGGCAGAGGTCAGCAAAGCTCCTGGATTAGCTAAAAAAAATATGTAAAATAAAACTGAATCCAGACAAGACACATAGAAACACATGTAGTGCATGTGTGATAGTTTTTATTGTTTACCTATAATTTTATTCTCTGGTCTGCTGTGTTAAACTGAATTTCCCCTATGGGGGATCAATAAAGGTACATTATATATTAATTAGTAATTAGTTGTTTCTGCTACTTTGATTAAACACATATTTATTTATAAAGACTGACAGTGTACGCACAACATACATTGAAATAATAAAAGCCTTAAAACTGGATTTTAAGCCCCTTCACAGGACGGGGCCTCAAGATCAGGTAATAATCATTGACAGTAAGGTAATAATACAGTGTCAGCTTCAGTTTCTTTAGCTTAATTAATGTGTACATTGTGAGCAAGAGAAGAACTCTGCAATTAATTAAACAACTACAAAATAATTGTCCCAAAAAGAACCTGGATCCTTCAGGCTTCTTCTTGGTTTGATAATAGACCTTTTTTATGACACTTGTTAATCGATTGCTCCAGTGCATGCTGGGAGGATTCTCAACAACCCTTATTCATGTACATGCAATCACATGATACGCACTGAAAAATTCTTATGAATGATGATCTGGTTTAAAATCTTTACTCAGTTTGCCTTCATTTCAAAATAAAATCAAACAGTTATTCAACATAACTTCATCTACATTTGCTAAATGAGAATCAACAGGATGATTTTAGCCCGATAACAGCTTCTTAGCACACACACACACACACACACACACTGATATACCTTTGTGTATTTTTAACATGGTAACCTTGATTATCATTACTTTTGTGTATTCTGTATTTTGTCTCCCTCTGACATTGTGTTTTTCAAGACTGACCAGTATCTCTTGCAATATTGACTTAATTTTTTGAGACAAGAGAGAACACCTGATGTTCTCTTCAGGTGAGAAATGTACTTTAGTTGAGTCCCACCTGTGTCTGTGTGCACCTGTAAGTCAGTGTGTGTCACAATGTGAACCACCTAGTGGTCGATTAGATTTACTGCAGACAGACTGACCTTCACCTTGACAAATGTTCTAGAGAAAGTACACTGACTCTTATTCTACTACATATAAAACATTATAACAAGACCTTTAATATTTAGCCAAATTTATTAAAGTCTACATTAAGAATCAAATGCAAATGTGTGGATAATTTAGTGTTTCCAATTGAGCTGCATGTGTTTGGAATGTGGGAGGAAACCGGAGACCCCGGAGAAAACCCACGTCAACACGGGGAGAACATACAAACTCCACACAGAAAGGGCAGAGGCTGTAAAGCCAACCTTCAACCTTTTCCTGTGAGGCCACACTGAGCCACCGTGCTGCCTTCACTCTTAAAAAGGATGTGTTCTTTTAATCTTAAAGCTAAGGTAGGTACTGCGCTGGAAAGTCATCTAACTGCCCCTTGCTAGTTTCTCCAACGTGTACCTACCCTAGCTTTAATGAGGTCTTTATTAGGTCGTACCAGACTCATCTGACAGTAGAGCTGAAGCTCACAAACTCCAGCTTTGTCAGTCTATCTTGAACTTCCTCAAACACCATCTGACACATCCTTTGTAAGAGTTTCATTTGGTATTCATTCCCAGTTTTTCAAGATGAATACCAAATGATAAAGAAATTACTAGGTGAAAAGACTGGGTGCAGGATACTTGCGTGTTCAACATGCGAATGGCTTCCTCAGAATCCTGGCGAGGGAAGAGAACATCCTCATAATGGCGGGGCGCTTCTGTTTCCTCTGTGGTGGTGATCCATTCTCCAGGTGGTTGACTTCGCTGTGAGACACCGATGTGTTCACACAGGCTGGAACAACTTTGCTTGTCCTCCTGGCCAAAAACCTCCTCACTTTGGTTACAAAGCTGCCGGCTTTTTCCGAGGACTTGTGCAGCTGCGCTTTTAATGTCCTGGCAACAGCTTCTTCAAAAGCCACATCCCTGGACACTACGGCAGCCTGCAGCAGCTTTGCAGATCCAAACTCGTGACAAAGTTCCTTGTAGATGGGAATGTGGACATTTCCAACAGACTGTGGGACAGTGGGATTTATCTCTCCCGCAGCCTCTCTCAGACGTTCCAACAGCCCATCAAAGTCCAGGTCGGATATGGAGGTCTTGGTGCAGTGAGCGATGTGGTCCAGAAGTTTGCTCAGAAACACAATGAGAAAGAACGTATTTTCTCTCTGTGGTAACTTCTCTGCAGGACTAGCAGAACACTTAACACTCTGCCCACCTGAGACGGCTGATCTTTCCTGCTCTGATACAGAGCAGATCGGTTCAGCTTCCTCTGCACTACACTCCTCAACATCCGACGCCTCGTCTGGACCGGAACCTTCTTCACGAGACTCGTCATCCTCGTCATCCTCGTCATCCTCGTCATCCTCATCGTTTGTCACCTCGACTGGAAGACACTCAGAGGAAAGACTGTAAAGAGATCCTTCATCCTCAGGCGGCTCAATGCCTGTAAGGATCAAGGACCTCAATACATGGAAGACATAGAAAACCATGTCTTCGGTTGGAGATAGTTTGGATGTTTCCGACCCATCAGACTTTGCCCGCGTGGAAGAGGTTGACCCTCTGATTGCAGCCAGTTCACGGTTCACCCTCTCCGTCACTTGTGCTGCTACTAAACAATTTAGTATATCAGATTCATCAGACCTTTCCTGCTTGACTCCCATTACCTCACACAAATTAAAGTGAAGCAAATTCCCAAGGCTGAGTATGATATCATACTTTGTCACACTGTGACAAGTACAACCCCAGAATGAAGTTTTAACCTTGTTCCTTAAAGAAGAGAAACAGTCACACATTAGTCCACTGATCTGCTCTGGGCACTCACATTAAAATATTTTTCAGAACTCTTTATCTAAACAAATCACATAAATCAGCCCTGGAAGCTGATGATTTAAACTTGGATCTGTTGGAAAATATTTAAAGAAACAGCATTCATCATTTACTTTATTCTGGACTCTAATAATCCCAAGGTTACTAAATACTACATACAAGTGTAGGCTGGAAGCTTTGGACTTACCTTGTGATGGAAGTGTCATCGTCCTGGGCAGTCTGGTCACACATCCCGCTTTCAATCTGAGGTGCCACAGATTGCAAGACCAAGAAGCTGAGCGACTCTACGATCTCACGGCACATGTCAGATAGTAGAACTATCATGTCTACATCCATTTTGCCAGCTCCCACCAACATCCACTGGCTGGAAGAGAAGAATAGGAATGGTTAGAAAAACAAACATTTAAACAGTGTGTGTATACATATATGTACGAATATATATAATTTCTTCTGGTGTTTAACATGTAACTCTGACTTACTCTTTTGTGATTTGAAGTATGAATGAGGTGAACACTGGTGCAAAGTTCTCGGATGTAAACAGTGGCACATCCAAATCGCTGTAGCTCACGTTCACTGCCTCACATGATGAAATCTAGAAAGACAAACAATCGGGTTTCAGCAACCAGTAATCTTTACACACTTCTCTTGGAGAGGGGACTATAAAATAAATCTACATGTTATTCAAAATAGTTATGGTACTTGGTAATTGACAAACCAATTAAAGCTGTCAGCATTCAGACAGACCACATAGAAATCTGGGGCTTGGTGCATTTTAAGATGTTATTGTATCACAGTCTCACACACTAATTAACTTCCATCATCTCCCCAACAGAACTGTTCATTAACAATTCATTATCACTTAAATCTTAAATAACATCAGAGCTGACCAGCAGCTGAGTGTTTCATCAAAAGGTGAACTGATGGGAGTTGAAAACTTTCTCCCTGAAGCCATCAAGCTCAACTTGTGAGTGTGTGTGTGTGTGTGTGTGTGTGTGTGTGTGTGTGTGTGTGTGATTTAAAGCTATCTGTTCTTACCTTGTTGTCCATGTTGGTCTGTAATTTAATGATCTGAGAACAATCTGGTACTTTCTCTGTGGATCTAACTCTCAGTTCTGTTCACTGAGTTGATGAAGTGCCTGTAGAGCAGTGTTCCTCCTCAAAGTGATATAGAATGTCACGATCAAAGGCACGGAACTCCAGAACGTTCTATGTTCTATACACGTATGCACACACACATGCACGTGCACGCACGCGCTGACGCACGCGCGAACGGAATACTTTGGTACGTAAATGCTAATCGAGCATTATATTGTAAAAGAGGTCTGCGTAGTTCA